ATTATTATATAAAACCAAAAGGCATCTACACTAATGGAAGAATATGCCATGTTTATGGATAAGAAGACTTAATATTGTTAAAATGCCAATACTACCTAAAACAATCTATAAATACAATGCAATTCCAATCCAATCCCAATTCATTCTTGAAGGAAATGGCAAAACTAATTACCAATTTCATATGGAGAGGGGAGAAGTCCAAATTAAGCAAAGAACTTCAAGAACAAAGTAGTAGGCCTTTCACTACTGACCTCAAAACCTAGTGTATAACCACAGTAGTCAAAACAATCGTGTATTAGTACAATGATAGATATATAGACCAATGGAACAGGACAGACAATCCATAAATCAAGGATCCACCTATAGGGAACTGATTTTCAATAAAGAACCAAAAACATTAAATGGAAGAGAGACACCCTTTCAACAAACGATGCTAGAAAAATTAGATTTCCATCAACAGCAGAATGAAACCAGACCCATACTTCATCCTGTTTACAAAAACGTACTCAAGATGGATTAGAGACCTAAATATCAACCCCAGAGCTATAAGAATCATAAATGAGAAAATTGGGACAAACTTAAGACCTCACCTTAGCTGGACTTAGTTTTTTTCTTAAAGATGGGGAAAGAGGGAGATCATTAAACTGATTCCACATAACGTTTTGTTCAGATGGCTCCAAATCAACAGAGAGCCCTACGAGAGATATAAATGAACCTACTAGAGGTTGAAATCAAGATGGGGTGGGAGTAGTGAAAGGGGGAGGAGTACATGTATGTCTTGGAGGAGGTGATTATATTTCTGTTGATAGGTAAACTGGGAGGACCAACCTCATATCAGAGGGAAAATCCTTAACCACACTTATACAAGGGAAGGATACACTTGGTAAGATTTTCCTAATTGGACCCATTTGACCTATGGTAGTAACTACCGAGTCCTTGGTGACCCAGACTGGATTCGATAGACTTCTGGGATGTATGCTGTCATTTTGAGGTACACAGCACCTTCATAAGTCACACATAAGGTTTCAATGTGGAAACCCTTCTAACTGAATTGAGCTTTACCACAAACTCGACTGTCCCACACTTAAGGAACCAACATACTCCCTCCGACTTAAATCTTGAATGTCTTAGTGTAAGACGAAGCAGATGACTGCTATCCCAAGATTATGGAATTGGTAGTCATCGTATTTTGGTTTGGATCTCTTGCTTTGAGAGTGATCTCTTGCTTTGAGAGTGGTAGCCTAGGATTACCATATATTTACTATGTTAATGCTTTCCTTGATTTCTTAAGACATGTATTATTCTGGTAGGCATGATTCTGCTGCTGTGAATGAGTGCTACTGAAAGTTTTGCCCTATCACCAACCTCCATTGTTTGTATAAATAGTGTTCAGTCACTTAAGAGTTTAATCTGTGCATGCCAACAATTCATGTCTGCAGTCTGAAGCTGGTCTGTAGTTTCCTTTTCTTGTATACCTGGTATAATTTCCTTTACTCGAGGGTGTTTTAAAGTCTAGACCATTGGTTAAATTAATGACACTCTCAATAGACTTACCTTATGCCCCAGTGGGATGAGTGATAGAGTTCTCTATCAGAAAATGATAATAGTATGTCTAAAGTGAACCTGAAACAGATATAAACCAAAGATATATCAATAGATTTTGAGTTCACATTTAATTCTAGACCCAATCTAAAAACAATTAATTCTTATGACATGCCCTCCTTGATACTCTCCCTCTAGAGGAGATGACTGAAAGCATGGGTGCTGTAGCAAAGTGTGAAGAGACCAGATGGTGCCTGGTTATGAAAAAGAATTCTATGGAGTAATGCAAAACATACCATTGCATTCATTTTCTTTTATGAATGTGCTAAATACCACTGAATTTCCTACGTTAAAATGTTTCATTGTGTACTAGGTGAATTTAATCTCAAATTTTTTCATTTTAAAAATTAGGTTAGGAATATTAAATCTGTATGATTACCTTTATTAAAAAATAGTAGAATAGTACTAACTCATATA